TGGGAGCTCCGGAAGACACGTGGAGCTGCCCCAGGTCTGGGACAGCAGACAGCACCCTGCTGAGCTGTACTGCACCCAAGCAACGGTGCAGCTGCTGCACGGGTTCCAGGCAGGGGGGCGATCCCCACTGCTCAGCACTGTGGTAGGGGGCTCTGTCATTGTCAGGTTTGACCTAGAAACCACTATACAAAGCCCAAGCAAAAGTCTCTGTTATGTAACTAATGCCCATCTGCAATGATAAGGAGGAGACAGCCTTAGATAAAGGAGGCTTGAAAACAAAAGCAGAATCAGAGGACTAGGGCAAAGAGCTGATTTGAATATTGAGAATCACACCCCTGGGTGGGGAGAAAGTATGCTAATGAAACATACATGTATGTAAATGAGATATATAGCTAAAACACAGGTATAGAGACATGCTCAGTAAAGAACTCCTTGCGTCACTCCCTTATAACCAATTAGCAAACAAGAATGCTTATGAAGGTCCAATACTCCTGTATAAAAGATGCTTAGAATTAAGAATCTGTGTGCTTGTTACGTGAAATTATTCTGCTTGCACCTTGTATTGCTAGCAATAAATCTTCTTTATACTTTCACCCCTGGTATCTTTATTGGCTTTTGCATACCGGGCACGATCCCAGACTTGAGCTGGGGCTCAACATCATGAGCGCCCAAAGGCCCCAATCACCGCTGCCAGAGCCAGTGAGTGCGGGGCTTTTTTGTTGGTTTTTTTTAAGGCTCCATACTCACTGGCTGTGGAGTATGTGTATGACAGCATGCTGGTGCTGGTGGCGGGGGCCAGCGCCAGCACCTGAGTCTGCCTGGTGCAGCCTGCACTGAGAGACGGGAAGAGCCCAGTGCTGGTGTTGGCCCCAGTCGGCAGCAGCAGCCTGCTGTCATCCTGCACACCGATCTGCGGGCCCACACCCCCTGGGAGGGCTGCAGGGCTGTGCCAGACTTCTCCCAGGGATAGCGAGACCCTTCAGGATAACAGTAGGCTGCCACTGCTGGCAAATGATATTAGTTTTGCTTTGAACAGTTTGTGGTGCAGTTTCACAAAACTCCCTGTATCTGTCTCTTTGAAACTTGGCAGGTGTCATGCCCTCAGAAGGGGCTACTGTCCCTGCAATTTTCATCTGAATCAGACAAGAAATAACAAAGTTATAGGCATTTTGATGATTCCCCATCACAGCCCATGGGCAAAACGTCAAAATCTGTCAAAACATCATTGAAACAGCGAAACAGTATAAATGAAACAGAACAGTGCTTCAAAACAGAAAAAACAAAACTCTGTCCCTTTGAAATGGTGAAATGGAAGTTGAAACAAAATGGTGCTGTTTCGCACAGCCCTACTAGAAACCTGTTACAGACTCCTCTTACCAGCTTTAGGTTGATCAGAGCCCCAATGCAGCAGTACCACGTCCACGTACCATAGCCTTTTTTGCACTGCTAAGTGGAGGTGCAGGTACAGGGAATTTTTACCTGGAGGCAGAATAACCGAGCTGAGAAGCACCGAGGTAAATTGTGGCTTGGGATGCCACTACCTTCCAAGAAGTGGTGGAGGGGTGCCATAACCCTGAAGCAGTTGAGAACCACTGCTCTGCCATATTGCTATTTCTAATCAAAGGCAAGTAAAACAAAAACCTATGAGGTTTATTGAGATACGAATGAACATTCTACAAATCAGCTTTGAACAGGATAAATCATATACAAATGATCCTTGAATATGATAACTAAGTTTATTTTCTTTCTATATTTCAAGCTAAAATGTGCTTTGCTTTTGCATTTCATCATTTAGATATGCCTGCCAAAGCAGGATTCATTAGAAAAGTATTTACCTGTCATTTTCGAAAATTCTTCTAGTTCCGGGGCTGCCTGTGGCCCTAAAGCAATGGTGTGAATGATTGATCCACTCCTCCTCACTTCCTCGAGGCAGTTTCTCATAGTGTTGTCTTCTCCATCTGTCAGCAGCACAATTTCAGACCCATCTGTGTTTGAGAACTTTGCCTTAATCACCTAAATTGAGAAGAGGATCCACAGCGTTAGTAGTGGAACGTCATTGGTAACATCACCTTCCCTAACAGTTAACATGTGAGTTAAGGAAAATTATTGCCTTAAGTTTATTTCAAGGAAAAGCCCTTTCCTTGCAAATTTTTTTGGGAAGTTTTTTGGAGTGGAGGGGATATCAGCCAACATGAACACATTTGCATTATCTTGTCTGCATTATACAGTTCAATAGTTCAGGGGAGGGGGATTCTACCACCAGCATATGAGGTTCCTCTGTTTGTTGTCACTCAATAATTGCAGATCACATGTACAAGAAAAATATGGTGAGCCAAGTCCTATTTTAATTTAAGGCAATAGCTGTTAACTGTTTGGAGCATAATTGAGTCTGCTTTTTCTCTCTCATTGTCCAGTACTGACACTGAAATCTGAAAGTCATATTATAGTCATTTTTGATTTGTCTGTCAGCTCAAGGAAGAAGTGTATTTGCAATCTATTGTTGTCTTCAGTTACACCTCTGCAATCCACTTCTCCTCAGTAGGGTTATGCGGTATAACTCAAGTCAGAATTAACTCTTGTAACTGGGACTCAACTAACATTGTCATGAAGATGCACAAGCCAGGCTGAGTAGGGCAGAATCCAGTTCTCTCTCCAGTAGCTGGAGTCAAACATAGTTAAAATATTTTCTCTCTTACCAAGGTCATAAAATATGACTCTGAATTTACACAGAAAAAATGTGGCATATCTACCCTCAATTTCCACAAAACTGATTTTCAGAATCAAATTTGGCTGATGCCAACACTAAAAGAGTAAATTTTGAGTTTCAAACCTCAAATTTCCATGTTTTTAATTTCTGGAAAGTGTCTTGATTCTCTACAAAGCAATCTTACAGGATTTACTTAACATGGTTGGAAAATATCATCTGCTGACAAACTGACAAGGTGCTAGAAGTAACTGTCATAAGTCATAGAAAGATAAAGCCAGAACAGACCATTATGATCATTTTGGCTAACATCCTTCATAGTCAGGCCACAGAAGCTCATTCAGGAACTCAACTTCTTCCCCATTGTATGTCATTAGAGAGACATTTCTTAACCTTGTCTTGGCTAAAACTACATGCACTGGGCTTAAGTCATGTCATGATTTTCCATGTCATGATTTTCATAACATGTCATGAGTTTCCAAGTTTGAATCATTCTTATTTCTCTTGGTCCATTGTCTATCCACCAATATCTTTAATTCTGTTACTGTATTCCCAGGTAAAGCCCCCAACATTCTTCACCTGAAATCCTTGTTGTACGCCTGCACAGATGTTAGTTCCTCCATCAGCTCTTGTAGGCAGGTATTTGATAAGGTCCTGGCGCACATTCTCACTGACTATTTGTTGTAGGTAAGTTTGAATTGTTGCTGAAGATGAGAAAGTGACAATTCCAGCCCAGGAACCGATTTCAATAATATGTCTCTGCAGCCTGATGGAGTCGTGTAATCCGATTATGCTGTACGTGATGAATAGAACATACTTAGAACTGTCAGAGCTATTCAGGGGAGAAGATATTGAATAAGAACTATTGATCCTGAGCTGTTGTTCAGTTCATAATGATAAATCAAAATGTTTCTGATAAAAAGTACATGAGAGATTTGGGGGGGAAATATGGAAAATTAGACAAATGCACACATCTCAATATCACCAACTATCCTGTACTTTATCTAAATGTCTGTTCATTCCAAATCATGGTGTTTGTAGAAGATCCTTCTATCATGAAGTGTCACTCACAGGAAACAGTAAAACTGTATGTTCTGATACTGGGATCTCATTCCTAGTACAAATATTCATATTCCATATTTATTTTAGTAAAACATTTCAAGCAAGAGAGGAAGATTACTGGCATATTCAGTATTATACCACATTATGATATCCCAAATTCTCAATTCCTAAGTATGACAAAAAGATGAAGGTTGAATATTTTATTATTTTGATAAACATAATGAATTAGATCTTGAGGTTGAAAATTCCTGGGGGATGCCGGATAACAGCTTTTACTGTACTCTGTTTTTTTTATATAAATATTCAGATTTTTATATGAAACTAAAACAAAGGAGCACAATTTATTTAAAAGTTTTATCTTGAAATGGAAAATAGACTAAGTCTGGCCTATCTGTCTTAGCAGTTAATAGCCTTCATACACTTCTTTTTAGCATTTCCTAATTTTGCATAACATGGTTTGCTAGAGCAGCCTTAATTTTCCTAAAAAAAAATAAAGCTGATAACTAAAATATTGACTGAAGAAAGTGTTATAATAAATCAGCCATTTTATATCGATGTCTGTTTTTAATCCCTTCTGCTCAAAATGATTTATAAAATAGTAATACTTACAGCACCCATACTCCCAGAAACATCCAGCACTAGACAGACAACTCTGTCCCTGGTCTGTAACAGTACAAAAGAGGGCTCAGATGGGGGATGAGAGCTGTTTATTGGTGAGACATTGCTGAAGTCAGTAGAGTTCATAATTACTTCCCATGTGCTTTTGTAGTTACACAGTTTGTTCTGCATATTCATAGCTTTTTCATTATGACTGTGTTTATCACAGAATTTAACCACCTAAAAAACAGTTGGGAGAGAAGAATGATTATTAAACAGCAAGTGTACATATACCAACAAACCCCAGTCTATTAGGCTAGGGACAGACATTCAAAAAGCGTGAGCCTGAATTGATTTAATCTTTGCAGGTTAGTCTAAGCTGGCTAGACTGAACTGGTTTGCAAGTGCACAGATATTCCCTCTGGACTGAAGAAATGCAGGTGAATGCCTGCAGTGGCTCAGGCTTGAAGCTGGTGGGGTACTAGAGCAGCCCTCCCTTGCCTTCTTCAGTGCTGAGCTGAGGGGTGGGTGTTGGGGCCCTGGAAGGATGCTCTGATTAGGGAGGGGTTCCCTCTGCCCCACATTGCCCCTGACTTGCGAGAGAGCCAGCAGGGAGTTGATAACACAGTGTTTAGCATCCTATCAAGAAAACAAAAGGCTATCTCATTAGTTCAAGCTCTTCTTAAATAACTTTTTCCAAGGAAGGAATGCAGGGGCATTAACTAGCTTGAAAAGGGGACACTCTCTCCCATTGACTCTATTTAGCTCTGGGTTAGCTATTTTGATTCCAAGGACTCTCCCTTCTGCTTTCCAGCTAGCCACATACATGCTTTCATGTTTTAGAAAGGCTGCTTGCCTTAGGCACTTCACTTCTGGTCATATTTCTGTCCTTAAAGGTGAAAATGCCCATCAAGACCTCAGCCCATTTGAACTCACTAATGGGGTCACAGAGGTAACAGAGATAAGGGCTAAGTACAGACATTAAAAAAGCCAAAGGTAGAATCAATCTAAGTTACAAGGTTTTCTGTAAGTGATGCAGTTAAGATGAGTAGTGAACAGAACGCATATTCCCACTTTGGTTGGGGGTTGGCAGGAAGGGGCAAATTTTAGACTGGGTTCCACCATTTTTAAAGCAGTCTATGTGTGCTGAACATCTGTTCTGTTACAGGTATATACCAGTTTTGTGTGCTGAACTTCTGTTATGGGTATAGACCAGTTTCTGGTCACTTATTCTGGTAAAAGTGTAATGTCTGTATCTGGCCAAGAAGTGGTGCTGTAGACCTACAGGCTTGGTCTCCAAGTTGAAAGAGCTGTGGGGCTTACCCCTGCACATGGACCCAGGATACTCGGATAGTTTGTGTAGAGGCTGTGGATCCCAAGCAGGAATCCATCCCTGCAAAATGCATGAGATTGGGCAAATAAATCCCCATCCTCATGGGCACAAAAAAATAAATCCTCACTGTCATGGGCACATCCCTGTCCTCATTCAAGAGATATAAGAAGCATGTAAGCTTCTTGACTAATAAAGCTGAACTAGAAGTTACTGCCCAAAACACAGGCCACATAGAGCGCAGATCAGAAACTGAACTCTGTACAGTGAAGGAGTCTTGCTAGGAATTGTTTGGTAGAGATGTGCATGTTTGGGGGGCTCAAGTATCCAGACACAGGCAGAGCGTGATCAAGAGATCAAAAAGCCAGTCAGATAACAAGCGAAGAACTACAAGCACGATCCTGAGAACAAATGAAGAGAAGCTTTTCAGGAAGACTGCCGGCCTGAAAGTGGCTTGAAAATGTGACCAAAGAAATGGTCTCATGCTGTTTGAGTTCAAGAACTTTGCATACATTCTTTGGAAATATCTGGATTTCAACAAATGCCTAACTCCATAATCAATTTCTACTGCTGACACAAATAATGTACAAACCATTACTGTTTTAGCAGGGAGAAAATACTACTTGCAGGGGCTGAGGCGGCATCAGAGGAGCGAGTGGTATGGGTGTTGGCTAAAGCAGGGGGGCAGTGGGGAGATGGTGGGGCTGGAGGAATGGATCTCCATACTGAGCAGCACCGGGTGCTGCTGCTGTGGCTGGCTACTGCAAAATTAGTTTGTGGGGGCTAAATCCCATTAGCCCCGGCCTTCTGCCACATATGACACAAACGGTCAAATATTGTCCACCCTGCAAACAAAAAAAGGTGTAAAGATACTCACAGAAGGTAAGCTTTGCATGTACATTATAGATGCTGAGGCAGCTTGTTTGTTTTCTGGCACAAATTTACATCCACCTTCAAACAGCTTGGTCACATTATCATATTTGCATTGCCTAATTGTGCATCTGTTTCCATGGCAACTTTGGTATATATATTGACCAGTAACACCAGCTGAACACCTGCAGTGAGATAAGATAGAAAAACACAGAGCCCTCAAGCCACAAATAACCAACGAATAACTATTATTTGTAGAAATCATCATAAGCTTTGTGGTAGCAAATAAACTGGAACTATGTTCTTCTTAAGAATTTAAAGGAAATGAGCATGATCTAAAAAAAAAATCTTGGATAAGGAGAGGAAACTTCAAGGATTGCTTCCCAAAGGGGCTTCAGAAAATATTTGTGTACATTTCATGCCAACTGCTATTTGATAAACCCTGTGAAATCATGTGAAATAGAGAATTCAAATCTGCATTTACATGTGGAATTAAAGATAATGCTATTTTCAAGTTGCGCATGATGAAATGATAATGAATGCAATCCCACATGACTAAACTGTGGGCAATGATAATTGTTAATGAAGTATTATGGACTAAAGTTCTTTATACTCACCTAAATAACAGCTCACCAAGACTATTCACTTGGGGCTCAAAATATTGATGGGACCAAGAAAACAAGGATATGGCAGATGTAATCAAAATGTTTAGAATGATATCAGCTAACGACAGAATGTGAAGAAATACTACCTTGTTGCTTCAACCCTTGCTTCTCCAGAGTCTTTAGATACATAGAACGGTGTATCATTATTATATTCATCAAATACCCCCCACCGAAGATGGGCCCATTCATGGACAAAAACTCTGCCTGTGGAAAAGTAAGAACATGTGTGCATTCTAAATCCAACAGTTTAAAACTTACTTTAGGTTGAGTCATATTAACATATGTTGGTTCCTTTTCTTTAATAAGCTCTGCTAATGAAAACCTTCTTGCCAAGCAAAAATTCTTGCAGTTGCACTCCCCGAGCCATGGTTACTATTGCTGCCACTGAGTCTGGCATGTTGGGTCACACTAGTGTGCAGGATTGCATCATGGCTAGTATTGGCATGCAGGTTCATGCTGGATCGCACCTGTGGACTGACCCCATGTGCTTGTCTCCTGTGCCACACATCTGACTTCTGGAGTTGGAGGAGCTGAGCACTATGTGTATAGACCAGGAGCAGGCAACTATTTCGGGCGGAGGGCCGCTTACTGAGTTTTGGCAAGCCATCAAGGGCCGCATGACAGGTAGTCAGGGGCAGCTAAATATTAAATTTTCTAAATTTTTTAGGGGCCCCGTGGGCTGGATAGAATGGCTTGGCAGGTCTCATCTGGCCTGTGGGCTGCATTTTGCCCACCCCTGGTATAGACAGACAAGCAAATTATATTGATCTAAAAGGAGGAGAATGTACCAGACATCTGCTCTTTTGTGGTAAATGTTTTGTGTGTCTACATCTATTCCAAAGTAAGTCACAACTAATCAAGAGTTACTTAACTCCAAAAAGAGAGAGCTAAGTTACCACAGTTCAGGTGGTAGGGAGAGTGGACATACAGAGAGTTGTTGCAGAGAAGCTGATGCAAAGCAATTCTTCTCTTCACATTCTCTCCATGCTTTTAAGTTAGCATAATTTATTCATCTGTTCATTCTCTAAAAGTTACTTTGCAGGAGCCTGATGTTCATGTCTTTTTCTGAAAAATCATGCCTTTTCAAGGTATCCAAGGTAGACCAAACAAAAGAAAACACTCCAAATCACTGGACACATCTGAAATCTGGACCACTGTGTAGTAACAACAACAGTAGGTACTGAAGGTCAAATAGATTGTGTTACCGCGTGATCCATAGATATCCAGCAAACTATCATTTGACAGAAAGTTAGGTGTGAAATGAATGTATCGTCCCATTTCTCCACATCCTCCATATTGCAGAGTGTACGGATCATCTCCATACTTCAAGAAGGGATCAGCCACTATGACATCTGCCTAAAATAAATAAGCTGTGGTTTAGAAAACGGCAGAGAATATGAGTGGTCTGAGATGATTCTGTTGCATGGGCTAAATTCTCCAAGTTTTACACAAGCAAAATACCCACAGAGAAAAATTGTATGATCAGAAACAAAAAGAAAAGTTTACATTAGAAGACTATTGGGCAAATGGGATACACTTTTTCTTGCAACTATGAACATAACAAATACTTTTGATTTTTAAAGAGTACTATAAGTTTTACCTTATCATATGACTCTGTTTTCAGTCTTGAATAGTCAGGTTTTTGCTGCCATGTTTGAGGAATTATAATTTTTAGAACTTTGAAAAACAATCTTTGTTCTGTGGCTTGAAATAAGTAAGTAGACGCATCTTTAACCATGGCCTAGTAG